GAAACAAGAAATTCGGAACAAGAATCGTATATCAAATCAGAACAGAATCAGAAATAACATCACATCAGAACTCGACAGGAACGTACAGAAATCAGAAATCAGAGTAATCATTACAGATCAGAATATATCAGAACAGACAGAATCGCTTACGGAAAATCAAGAATCAGATCATATCAGAACAGACAAGAATCGGAATCAGAATACAATTCAGAAATCAAAAACATAATCAAAAGTCAGAACATATTAAATCAGGAACAAATATTTCAGAAACAGATCTTCCTTCCAGATTTTAGAACTTCCCCCTTATATCTCCCTTGGTGCATTACACACCAGAACTGTCCCCTATATAGCTCCCTATTGTGCTCATAGGCACCAGAACTTCCCTTATAGCTCCCAATTGTGCTCATGCATCAGAAACAGAACACAATATACAGAATTTCAGAACTTCTACAGAACTTCTCAGAACTTCCCCTTATGGCTCCCTTGTGCTTACAGCACCTTCCCCTTCTGAGCTCCCAAAAGCATACAAAATATAAACATGTCATTTCAAGCAAATCCGGACAAATTCAGAAATCATACGAAAAATCCGACAGCGTAACGGTAGTATACAGAAAATTTACACAAAATTGACAGAATCAGAATTTTACCAAAATTACCACAGAACATTCACCAGCAATAATAATAAGACTTTTATTCTACTGCCACCAACATTTTTAGATATCGTCAAAAATTGCCAGTCCGAAAGAAAACCCACTGTGGAATAAAAAATACCCGGTCAAAATTCTCCAGAAAATAATCAAAATGTGCACACTCGGCACCTCAGAAACATATTAAAAGTTACGCGATAAAAACTGAACCAATCAGAAAATATGGACGAAATTCGCTAACAAAAATGAAATCCGGACAGAAAAGTCATTCAAACTTCACCGTTTTGAAAATTGAGAAAGGCGGAATGTGCCTTACCTTGCGTACGATACTTTCTCGAACAATCTCGTCGGACGAAAACGACCCGGCGTCGCCCGAAAATCAGCTTTTCCACAAATCTCCTCGACCTTCTCTCGCCTCAAACGATTTTAGATATTTATTTTGATTTTCTCTCTCTTCAAAATGAGCTGATTTCAGCTAAATATTACTCAGATCGGCCTGGCCGATCGCACGATCGTCCAGGACGATCTGACCAAATTCCACATCGTCCTGGAACGATTTTGCAGGATGATAATTAATTTCCAGGACGATTTGCTCTCTGATTTTTTCCATACACTGATCGTCCTAGGACGATCCCAGATCGGCCTGGACGATCCCTACAGGAAATTTTTCCTGTAACTTCTGGACAGAATCTGGAACAAAAATTGCACTGATCGTCCCGGGACGATCCAGATCGGCCCGGACGATCCTGAAGCATATTTGATGTTACACAGGGTTACCCAAATTCTTTTTTTAAATAATCTTAATTAAGCTTAAGGTATCCACCTCAATAGCCACATTTTGAATGCCTTTTTTATGACACAGCTCAAGACCAAAAGACAAACCCCTAAGCTCAGCATAAATGACCTTATAGTTAAAGGAGCAGAGTAAGCAATAATAACATCACCTTGGAAGTTACGAATAATACCACGGCATTTACAACCACCGACCCATCAGAATTAAGCTTAAAAAAGGGTGGTTTGGGTTTCAACCATTTCACGATTCTGTCAACAGCATTATGGGAAATAGAATTCATAGGAATACCCAAATGCAAAGCCAAAACTGCAGCATTTTTAAAATTTTTTTGAAAGATCATATTAGTGGCTTGAAGCTGCATAATCTTAAACTTAACATTAGCAATAATATTAAGAGCATCCATCTTAATATTAATATGCTTAACTTCATTCCTATCATTCCAAATATACCAAACAATAAGAATAGGAAAAAGATTATAAATATGACCTTTAGACTTATTAATCAACATTCTAAATATAGAAGAAATATCCTCATGATGCTCAGAATTCTCCACCTGAGCAATGTCAAAAGAAAAAATCCTAAAATTTCTTAGCAATGCCACCATTAACAAAAGTGTGCACCAGATTTTCGACATTAGAGCAACACTGACATTTAGAAGTAATACTAAAACCTCTTTTCATAAGAATAGTGTCAACCGGAATAAAACCTTTCACACAACACCAAACAAGAATAGAATAAGATAACGGAATAATGTTGTGTCAAATAGCAGAATAAATGACCTACTCACTATACTTAATACGAAAATTCTCCCAAGCTTTTTTATAACTGAGCAGACCCGAAGCAGAAGACTTAAATAAAATCTGGTCATTGTTCTGTAGTTGTAAAGGCAACTCAACAATCATGCTCACTAAATCCCTCGAAATGCAATCCCTGAGTTTAGGAACATTCCAAATCCCATTCTCCAAGAATTCATACACTTTAGTATTAATGAGAGTAACAGTATTCAAGAGATTGTCAATGGAACCACAACCTAACCAATTGTCCTGCCAGAAAGAGATATTCCCTTTCCCCAAACCCCATTGAATTAAGTGCTCTACTTCCCCCTTAATTTTACAAAGCCTTTTCCAAACCATAGAATCAGATCTTTTATAAGTACAAGAAGTAGCATGAGAACCTTTGCAATACTTAGCATTCATAAATTGAGCCAAAGACTCATATTAGATATAAAAGCAAACCATAATTTATAAGAGAAAGCTTTGACAGTGTCAATAAAACTTTTGCACCCTAAACCACCCTCATTTAAAGCCCCACAAACTTTGTTCCGCGAAGACCAATAAATGCAATTACTATTATTTTTTTATCCCCAAAAGAACTTGTTGACTAGTCTTTCCATTCTTAAACAAATAGAAACAGTAGGGTTCAAAGTATTAAAAATATAGACGGGAATCGAGTTTAACACACTTTTGATCAAAACTAATCTCCCACCAAAAGACAAAAAGTTAAATTTCCAATTAGCAATTTTTGTTTGAAAAGCCGTAATGATATCCTCAAAAATTTGATTCCGTTTTCTCCCTTTAAAAATAGGAGTGTCCAAATACTTAATAGAAAAAGAAACACAATTAAAACCACATGCGATTAATAGAATTAATCCTACCAAGACTAACCCTTTTGGATACCAAAAAACTGTTCTTGGTTTTATTAATATCCAAACCACTCATATTCTGAAATTTACTTAAAAATGAACTAAAATTTTAACATTTCTAATAGAGCCATTAGATATTAATATCATGAGTAGATCTCATGGCATAGTTGATAATTATAACACCTTGGAAGGATTTTCATTCACCCGGCCACCACTTCTCAAAATATATATCATTTGACATTTAGAAAGTTTGCATGTTCATATTTTTACAATCAATTGATTTTCGCATGTGGCACATAACACAATTTTGATATTCTTTACCTTCAAATTTTGAATTGAATTGAAGTAGAAATACCCCTTACTAAATAGTCTTTAGAAGGTTGTAAGTTTGCAAAATTTTATGCAAAATATTTGAATTGTTTCTTTTATGCATCGAAGTCTAAAGATTACATGCATATTTCTACTTACGCTAGTGGCAAGGAGATTTGGGAAAAATATTGCATTACTTATGAAGACACTAATGAAGTAAAATAATCAGGAATGAATTTACTTTTACATGATTATAAACTCTTTCGCATGAAACCTATTAAGTCAATTTAGATATGTATACCTGGTTTACTAAAATCATTACATCTTTGTATGCATTGGGTAGAAAATGAGAAATACTCTATGGCAACCCATGAGTCTGGGTGAATTGAGTTGTAAATAAAAGAGTGGTTATTTAAAATTTTTTATTATATTTTTTGTAGAAAGCATAGTGATGTGAATGAGAAAGATATTCAACAAAATAAATCACAAGAGATAGTGCAAAAGGAGAAAAGAACACATGAAGATTTTTATGCGGTTGATCCCCCTACTAGCCTATATCCATACCTAGTCCAACCCCATGCAAAGTAAAATAAAATAAATATAATGTAAAGCATTTTAGTTTATTTTTGAAGTAAATCACACGAGCCCAGTTTTAAATGAGAACCGTTTACACCACAAGCAAGCTTGCTTGACTGCCGCCACCCTTTGGCCACCATCTATCGCCTCCACCACCCATTGTCGGCGTCCACTGCAATAGGCCACCATAGTCACCCGCCACCGACCACCACCACTGGCGGCCATCGCCTCTGGTCACCACTACTGCAAGTTCTCGCTATCGCTGGTCACCTCAAATACAAGCAGCCACTGACCATCGTCGCCCCCTGTCGGCCACCAACACTCGTCGCTAACCACTATTGTAGTTCACTACCACCAGCAGCTGCCATCACCACTCGACGCTAGCCACCACCACTACCACCAATACCATTGCCGATCACCGCTACCGCCCCTCCCCAGTCATCACCATTTTTGAACTTAGTGCATTTATTACTTCAAATAAGCAAAAAAATTCATTAATGTGCTTTTACATTACATTCATCCAAACAACTCCAAAGTATTTTTTCATACTATATTCCTTTTCTAGCCAACCAATTAGCCCCTAAATACATAACAACATAATCTCATAATCTCATCATGAATAAATGATCTGAGCATGAACTAAAGTATATTAATGATAATAATCATATGATACAATAAAGTACAAATAAGCATCTCTCCACCTATAATGCTGATGATGGTGCATAGAAATAAGTTCAAATATGTCTCTCCATAATAACTTTTAAAGGTGGAAATAAGAAAGGGCTTGTGGAAGGGGATTCGGGTGCAACGACTAGCCCAAGGGCTAGCCATCCTTCGCATCCCTTGAAATAAGAAAAAATTATCTATGTCACAGCTTTGAGTGCCGACAATTTATCGTTGTGTCGTCACAGTGGCAAACTTACACCGATTAAATTGGCAACGAGGTCAACTTTTTAACATTTTTTTATTCTATTTAAAAAACAGATGTCATTTCACAAATTTCTACAAGATTATACAAGATAAAACCATCTCATACCATGTTATATATTCATATTCTCCCTTAAGTTCAGATTCATCATAAACAAAATATAGATCAGATTCATCATAAACACTTAATGACGAGAGAGAGAAAACGGAAAAGCAAGAGATAGTAAGAAATAGAAGCTCTTCACAAATCGAAGAAAGACCCCTGTAGTCCCCCCTTCTTGGCGCATTTGCTCCTGATCCTAAGTATCATGTAGGAGCCAAACCTGTAACCCAATATGAAACCCACCATCACTATCACATCCTTCCACCTGCTAACCTCCCCCAATCCCTCCTTTCTCAACACTGTATCTCCATCCAAGAGACAAACTCCAAATTTCTCCTCTAAACACTTTCCCTCCCCTGAAAACTCGTTTACCAGAAAAGCTTCAAATGGATACCTGAACAATGACAAGTAGTTCATGAAAACCCAACAACCCGGTATCCCCTCCTTCCTTATAAAATACCCGGAGAAGAGGAAGAAAGACCCCATCACGCCGGCGATGACAGAGTTTCCCACTATGAAGTTTGGTGCGAGGGAACTGAAACAGACCACCACAGAGTTTGCGGTGTAGAGGATGAGCCATATAAGCAGAAGGAAAAATGCGAAAGATGACGGATTCCGATCAAGACCTGCTAGCCAATAGACTGGCGAGGCGAAAAGCAATGCTAAGATAAAAAGGAATGGCAAGAAAACGAGGCCATTCGCTATTACGTAAGAAGAGACCCTGTAAGCTCCGCCCGATGTCTCCTTCATGAGAATGTCCCTCTCCTTTAAGAATATGGGCAGAGCTTCCGTCGTGCAGGAGAGAAGAAATGTGAGGATGAAAGCAAACAGCCCGACACGATCGCGCGCGCCGGCAATGTCAAACTTTAGATCAAAGAAGATGGAGCCGAGCACTAGGCCAGACAGAAGCATTTGAAAAGTTCGACAAGTGAAGAGCTCCTTTGTGCGGAATACGTTCTTCATGAAACGTAAAGTGAGTATCGATGTTTCGACAAACGGATTGTTCGCGTAGTCAAATTCAATGTTAAACAACTCGGTACTGTGGTTATCTGCGACCTTATGGATGTGGAAGAGCTGCTGCAGGGTAGAGTGATGATTTGCTTTTTCATTGCGTTGGAGATGGGAGAGAGAGTCTAGGGAATCGATGGCGAACTCAACGGGATTAGTGTGGGCCGGTAAGGGGTGGCCGGCGGCGGCGAGGCGGGATATGAGGTCGGCGATGGTGCCGTGGTGGAGGACACTGCCGTCAGAGAGGAGGAGGAGAGAGCCGAAGAGCTTCACGATGCGCCAGCAGGGCTGGTGAATACTGAGAATGATGGTTCGCCCTCCTGACTCCGCCATGGAGCGGAGCATGTCGACGATCTGCAATGCCGAGCTGGAGTCTAGCCCTGACGTAGGTTCGTCAAGGATCAGGACAGCCGGATCGTGCACAGCCTCGACGGCGATAGAAACGCGGCGACGCTCACCGCCGGATATGGAGCTAACGCGTAAGGAAGCGACATGGGCGAGACCGAGCTCGGCTAGGAGAGTTTCCACGCGGGTGTGGATGGCAGTGGTGGGGAGACCGAGGCGTAAGCGGGCGGTAAATGCGAGGGTCTCGCGAACGGTAAGAAGTGGAAAAAGGCAATCTTTTTGGGGAACGAAGGCTGAAATGCGGCGAAAGGAGCGCTTGGAAAGGGGGAGGTCGTCGACGAGGATGGTGGCAGGGGGTGGGGGAAGTGGGAGGCGGCCGGCGAGGAGCTCGAGAAGGGTGGATTTGCCAGCACCGCTTGGTCCGACGACAGCGAGGATCTCCCAGGGCTTGGCGCGGCAGGTAACGTTGTTGAGGACATGACGAACGACGGGCGGCTGCGGGGTGGGAATCTCGGAATCCACAGTTTCTTCGCTGCTCCATATTTTTTTGAACAAGTGCTGGCTTGGATTGCAATTGTGGATGGTGTAGGTGAGGGACTTGGCTTCTATCTCGCAGCCTTGTTTCCTCATTGAAGTGACGAAGCGAGGCACAGCATGCAGTGTAGAAAAATGTCAGGAAGAGGACCCCTACCGCTCTGATACCATGAAGACAGCCAAATAAAGACAAACATGACAGCCATGGTCACGGACCGAAACAGCACAGAAAAATGGAATTATTATTATGTCTTTTGGAAACAGATGCAGGAGTATTGATCAAGAAATGAATAGGCAATGAAGTGCCACGTTTGCAAGAAAGTAAAACTGCAATTTCTTGCTTACCAGCAGAGGGAAAAATGCTTCCTCTTCCTCTACCCTGCTAGCTTATTATTCGAGTTTTTGTGTTAAGTACTGCTAGTTTATTGATAAGGCAGTTTTGCCCTCGGATATGTACGCAGTTTTTTAAGACGAATCCATCGTGATAGGACAGCCTTTTCCCTTCTACGCACGCTGGTGGGGTCTGGGCTTCGAGAGGCCTGTGTTTTTGCTTTGATATTCAATTTGAAAATAATAAATAGAAAAATTGAGTGGTGTCTGTTTTACCATTTTTTTTGAGTGCTTTGATTTGTTATTTTTAAAATGAATACTTATCTTTTTTTCCTCAATTACCTGCAAATAGTCTGTCCACGAAGTTTCGGCGATGCCCTAGCCGACTTTCACCCCCACTGTTGTTTTTGTTGACCGCCACCTTCCGCCTGGCCTCCGGCCTTCGCCGGTAGGCTCTCATTCTTGTCCACCCATGGACTCTTTATCCCCCCAATCTTTTCCTCCACTCATTCCTCCCTCTACCTCCAACCCCACTGCACCTTCAACTCTAGATCGGTTGTGGTCTACTATTGCTGCTTCTCATGAACCTTTTACGGAATCCCTTCATGTCTCTCTCATTGAGACTCCTGAGGTTATTGTTCCCTTCAACAAGGATTACACAGCTGCAGCCGCTGCGGAATGGAAACTTTCGCTTGTGGGATACTCTGTCGGTAAGCGTCCCTAGTACGAAGCTTTGCTTTCCACTGCTAAGAGAATCTGGAAACCCAAAGGTACATTCCAGCTTATTACCCTAAGTGATGGATTCTTCCTTTTTAAATTTTCCAATTCTGAAGACTGAAATGGTTTGGAGTAAGAGTGCTTGGTTTTTTCATGGAAAGCCTTTTGTTTTTCATAAGTGGTCTAAAACCTTTCATCCGACTCGTGAAAATTTTTCTACCGTTCCGATTTGGGTTAGGATTTTAGACCTTCCCCTGGTTTGTTGGAATTCTGAAGGTATTTCCAAAATAGCATCAAAAATTGGTACTCCCCTCGCTGTTGATGCGTTAACGGCGGCGAAAACCAAGCTGACGTATGCTAGGGTTTGTATTCAAGTATCCACCACCTCTGACTTCCCCGCTACGATCCCCATCTCCATTTAAGATGTTGTCTTTAACCTTAATATCCACTATGAATGGAAGTCTAACCCTTGCACCACTTGTAAATTCATGGCTCATACCTCCTCACATTGCCCTTTAAATCCTCAACCCCCACAACAAGAAACTCAGCCTCCATGACGTCGTAGCACTTCGCGACATACCCGTAGAAAAAATACCTCTCAGGACCCCTCTTCTCAGACCCGTTTACTTGGAACCTCACAAAATCTAAGCAATTCTTCTACTGGCACTACTTCTGCGCCTATAGCCACTTCATCTTTGGCATTAATGCCATCACAAATCACCATCACAAGCTCCCAGAACATCAACCAGGGCACCAAGCAGCAAGTTGTAGTTCATGTTTCTGCGGTTGTCTCCTCATCCGGCATCATAGCTCCCAACCCTATTCCTTCTCTCAGCGTTCCTAATTTCCCTCTTAACACCACAATACCTAATCTCAACTCCCCAACTAATGAATTTATTGGCCACCTGGAGCCTGAGACATTCTCTTCCTTAAACACTACTCACGTACCAACTAGAAACCAATTTGATTCTCTTCAAAGTTGTGAAGAACATGTTTTTCACAACTCTGATAATGTGCCTAGCTCCCTCAAAGAGCCTCCTAACAGTACAACTGAAACTACACTTCATTCCAGTCCTAAAATGCCCGCAAACCCTCCACCCAAAACCACCAGGGGTAAGGGATCAAAAAAGCCTCCCACACCAACTTCCAAATCCAAATGATCAATCCTACTATAGCTGCTTGGAATATTAGAGGATTCTCTTCCTCTAATAAAGTGTTCAACTGCAAAAACTTGGTGCAATCTCTTCGACTGGACATGCTCTGTATTCTTGAAAATAGAATACATCATTCTTCTATGGCTGACACTTTCTTCCTTAATTGTCATCGGGTGTTTGATTATGAAGATAGTTGTAATAACTTCCATTGCTCCTCTCCAGGGAGAATCTGGTTAAAATGGTCTACTGATAGACTTGATTTTAAGTCCACATTTATATCCAACCAAATGATAGCTGGCAAGGTGCTTTATGGAAACAACACCCCTTTTTTGCTATCAGTTGTATATGCCTCCAATTATCAAGAGGAAAGAAAAGCTCTATGGGATGAGATTAGGAACATTTGTCCCACCATGGGGACTCCTTGGATTATTATGGGCGATTTTAACTACTGTCGTTATCCTTCTGATAAGTTCGGGGGGTAATATGCTACATCAAAATCAGCTGTTTGATTTTAACTCTCTCATTTTTTATGCCAATCTTTATGACTTGGCTTCGGTGGGGCTTACTTACATGTGGTACAATCAGCAAACTGTGATTCCCATCCATATTAAGCTCGACCGCATGCTTGTTAATGAGGAATGGATGTCTGTTTTTCCCAGATCACACTATATTATTAAACCACCTTCATGTTTGGATCACAATCCCATTGTTCTTTTGTCGGGTGACAAATTTGACTCTCATCGTCGTTTCCTTTTTAAGAACTATTGGTTAAAATCAGAATTTTTTTGGTATTTGCTTCTTTCTAATCTTTCTGTCAATTCTAGGGGTCAACCTTTTGCTGCTCTTTGCTTTCTGCTCAAACAACTAAAAACAGATATTAAAGACAAAGCTTGGGCTTGCTCTAATTCCGTGTCCTCTCACATGGACTCTCTTCTTAGGAAGCAAGAAGATTGTCTTAGCTTGTTTAATCAGGATTGCCATAATGAGAGCATTTCTTTGGCTCTTAAAAATATCAATGACCAATTAGCTGAAGCATCTTCTCAGTGGTATTCTTGGTTATTACAAAGGGCAAAAATCAAATGGTTATCTAAAGGCGAAGACGATCTTAAATTTCTTTATTCAAGGATTCACCTAAGGAGGAATTATAGGAGAACTGCAATCTCCCTTGCTATGTCCAATTCCAATTTCTCTTTCTCTGAAGCTGTCAGAGATACTATTTTGCATTTCCAAAGGCTATACAATCCTCCTAGGAGGCAGTCCTTTGACATTCTTCATTTTTCGGTTGGTAATGTCATCCCTCATGAGTATGTCTTATCTCTTACTATTCCTTTTTCAAATGCAGAAATTAAAAAGGCAATTTTCTCTGGAGCATCAAACTCCACTCCTAGCCCGGATGGTTTTAACTTTGAATTTTTCAAATCCTCTTGGATTGCCACTGGGCCTATGGTTTGCAAAGCTGTGAAGACTTTTTATCACAATGCCTACATCCCCAATGCTGCTAAGGCTACTGCAATTACACTCATACCCAAAACTAATCATGTTGAAGTGATCTCTGACTTCAGGCCTATTTCTTTGTGCAATACCACTTATAAAATCATAGCAAAAATTCTGGCAGCTAGGATGAAACCTATTATGCCCCTTATTATCTCTTGAAACCAGTCTGGTTTCATTCATAAACGGATATCCACTGACAATATTATACTAGCTAATGAGATTCTTTTCCACTATAGAAATTCATCTAAATTCAAGATGTTAGGCGCCAAGTTGGATAGTAAAAAAGCTTTTGATAGTGTGTCAAGGGAATTCCTTATTGCTAGGATGATTCAGAAAGGTTTTCCCCAACCCTTCATCAAATGGATTAATGCTTGTATCAATGATTTTTGTTTTCTGTTTGCATAGATGGTGCTCTTCATGGGTTTTTTTCCTCCTCTGCTGGTCTGAGGTAGGGGTGCCCTTTAAGCCCCTATCTCCTCTGTATCGTCATGGATGCTTTTTCTTATCTTTTGGATAATGATGCAATTTTTGAAGCCCCTATGGTGGAAGGATTCAGATTATCTCATCTGATGTATGCTGATGACCTCCTTATTTTTGGTAAAGCTGACATCCACAACTGTGAGAATCTGTGCTAGTTGATTGAAACTTTTTCTATGGCTACTGGTCTTGAGATAAATTATGGGAAGAGTTCTCTTTTACTGTCCAAAAATTGCCAAAACCCCAATGTCATCAACTCTATCCTAAAGATCCCCTGCACTTCTACTTCTATTGCATATCTTGGGATTCCCATCTCCCCTTACAATCCCAAGCTATATGATTTCTCTAAGTTAATGGAAACTATCACACACAAACTTTCTGGTTGGGAAGCAAAAGCCCTCCCTTTTGCTGGTCGATTGCAGTTTCTACGTTTCACTATTTGGAATACCATCGCCTATTGGATTCGGGGATCTATTATACCAAAAATCATCACTAAGCAAATAGACATCAATATAAATCAACAAATCAAATAAATGTTCATAGGCCAACTGCCCTTATTACAAATCAGGGTCTGCAGAAAATAAAGTGGCCGGGCACCACTTCCAAAAACTCGAATTTCTAAGCCTATGACATATGCCAACAACTTTGAGTGGGATATTGGTCTTCAAGTCTTCTGGGTATCTTCTCCTTGGACTCCTTAGATCACTCCTCCTTAGACTCCTTGGATCACTTCTCCTTGGACTCCTTGGATTCGTCGTGGCTTGAATATCCAAACGAAGAGATAATTTCCCCCAAAAAGGGAGGTATTGCCTTTTCTCTTTGGATATCTAAAGCCATCCAACTTGACCTTCCAAACGGAAGAAGACTCTCCCCTGTGAGGATGCCTTCTTCTTTTAAAATTTGAGTTGGATAAGAATATCCACACTCAAATTTATTCTCACAACTCTCACCAATATTACAAATTATTACATTAATTAAAAAGCAATAAATCTAAGAATCCTTGCAAGGTTATCCTAATAAAATCATCTCAAGCATTTTATATGAAGATAAAAATAACTCAACCCATTGAAGCTGTGCCAAGCCATGCTCTTAATTATGAGGGCTAAGAAGCTCCACCTGTAGCATTTATAATTATTTTATTTAACCCTCATTTTATTAGGAGGGCTGAGCAAGCACCTGCTTAAAACATTATCAGAAATCATGACAATGCCCCCCTTTTATTAGCATAGCATGCTGGCCACATGCACGAAAGAACAATATATTTATGACGTTCCTAACCTAGGGGTAGATCTAGCGCTCATCACATCATCCACAGTGTAGTAAAAGTAAGCAAACACAACAATTCAGTTTCACACAACATGTAGTAAAAATCACGGAAAGCTCCGGCACACAGCAGAAAAAGAAACACCGGCCTAGCCTGAAACTAGAAGTGGTACCCTAGCAAACAATTCTATGTGTGTGTAAGGCTTGTGTGGCTTGGATATGTCCTAAGCTGGGTAGTTGGTTAAAATTGTCTAGAGTTGTAGTTTGTTGAAGGTTAGAAAAGGAAACTTTAATTAAAGTTCAAATATTAGTGGATTATGATTCATTTTAATTAATTTAGTTTGTTGATCAAATTTATAAGCTTAGGATAATGATATTTGGAGTTCGAGTTGAATTAGCCACTTTTGGAAAGTCCCGGCTCCTCCTAGGTACTAGGTTGAGGGGGTCCAAAAAGTCACTATGAAAATAGGCTGGGTATAGGGTTCCTAATACCTTAGGTGAATACTAGGGCTTAGAATGAGCAGTTATCCAAGTCGTATACTTAATTTGGAGTTTTCTATCCAAAGTTATAAATTTTCTAAGTTTCGGGCCCTAAATGAACTATGGTTGACCAAAAATTTGGCTTTCTAATCTAGGCCAGTTTTTGGAAACATAATATTTTTAAT